TAAATTTTGCATGCGAAAATTGAATTGGTTGCAAAAATTTTTTTTTTAACCCACGGCCCCCACGAGGAGGAATCTATCTTCCATATCCCCATCCCGTAGATCCACTACTGAACCACCGATGAACCGCGACGTCGGAACGTGGGACCGTGCGAAACGTGCGGAAACGGAGGAGATACGGCGACGGTTATCCGGGGAACCCTTATCCTCGCCGGTTTCCCGGTTCCGGCCCCGGGAGTGATTGCGGGAACGCGCGCGCACCTATTCGCACGACGGGCGGTCGGAAATCAATGGAAACGTCGAAACGTTCGTCTCCGGGCGCTCGCTTCGCACCCTCGACCATCCCTTGCAACGTATCGCGCACCCGGTTCGGCGTAACGCTACGCGCGTTGAGCGTACCGAAAACTATAACAACAACAACGAGAGCTACACGCACGCGCGATGTCAAACGCAGCAGCAACAACGACAACAACAATAAAAATAATATTAACAAAATCACGGTTTGCAGGATTTTAACGTTCATGGTTTCCACCCCCGCCCGTACTAACCCTTTACCGTTGCGACGGGAGATTAAACGACTACCGGCGTTTTTGACGGCGCTCAACGTCAGGCATACGTAGTACATCTATTACGCGCGGTATGTTTTATTATGTGTTCCCGCGCGCGTGCTAATGCGAAACGATTCGCACCCGTTTTTCGACTACCGTTACGGCGGCGCGCTCGAAACAATAATATTTCAACACGTGTTGAACCGAAATTACGTTCATCCGTCGGCCATTATTCTTACTAGGGGGGGAGGAGGAAAAATCCGAGTACGCAAATAGCTTGGATTTTTCCTCCCCTCCCCTCAGTTTTGCGTTTCGTTCGATGACGGAGCCGTTGAAATGGTTCCAAGATCAAAACCCACGGCGGTACGTATGATGAATGATACGATTTCCATTATTTCTCGACGACGACCAACATCTACAGTTATATTACCCGCGTTATCACGATAAATATTTTTAAATTGTTTTTCACTATAAATTCGAATTATGAACCTGTCGGTATTGAAAACGTCGAATACGTTTCGATAACATTGCACAATACATCAATTGTCGCAAATTATGACTGCGTAGTTCTCGAACGAAATCAATTCGTTTTTAAAATACGATACGACGCGCGTGTCGATGAGATTTGCACAGTTCTTAAATATTTCCGTTTTGTTCGTCAACTATTTTCTTAAACATATAATACCTACATGTGTTGTATACTGGTCGACTTCCAAACATACGTACAAGTATATTTATATATACGCTTAGTCGTGTGTTTTAAAAGTATCTCACTATAGACGCTAATGCGCTCATTATTAACTCGTAAATCGGATTTATCACCAGATTTTTACACGCGCATATCCGTGCGCGGAACATCTTTCAATGATGCCAAAACTATTTTTGATGGGTTGACCATTTAACAACGTGTCGTTAACTTTTAACGAACATCCGTGAGTTCTGACATAATATTGCACTAAAATTGCACTGTTGATTTTATTACCAGTGCGGCGTAATAACACCCCCTCCCCCCCCCCCCCGACCGCAATATGTATATTCTTTATGGTCTATTAAACGGCTCCATGAGGGTTATTTTGAAGAACGTAACTCGTCTATTTTTCAGATGTTTATAAAACGAGCGATTTGTCATATTTGAATGCGAGCGATTTAAAAAATTGAAAAATAAAAGCTATAGTAATAAATATTTATAATATGTTAAACATTTCGGTGTTCATCAATTGGGCCAATTTTGGGACACTATCTATATCAATTTCACTGGAGAATTTTTATCACCTGACCGAGAAGTCGTATAGATAAGTTTATTACAAGAAAATTTATAATTTCGGTAAATAACAATTTCTTTATCACGTTCACTTAAAACAGTTTCCATTATAAATTTAAGCACGAGCCACGACGAATATACGTACAACGCGTAGAGTTATACTAAACAACACTACGAATTTATTTTACAAACATGTAGTATTTATCGACATTTTTTTTCCATCTTCAAATAATAAAGTAATAGTTTTTCAAACGTACCAACGAGTATAACGACGTAAGCCCATGTATTACCGAATTACAACACTGTTAATCTGTAAGTTTTAAAATCAGTAGTAAAATTATACACGTTCGTATTTATATATGTATATATGTAGGAACGATTAGCGCAATTGACGTACAGCATTAGACTACATTCCTTTTGCCTATCCCATAATTTTTCTTTCTTTACTGGCGGTTTTTGGCGCAATTAATACATGGTCAAATATTTACCGATAACGTAAAAAAAATAATTTCAATTAATGAAATTATGTACGATATTATTTTCACTCTTTCTCTCTCTATTTGCGATTAATTTGTTTGTCTTGTTTGAATCGATTATGATTGCGATTTGAAATCAGAAATTCTTCGAATGAGACAAACATTATACAAAAACGTATGCATATAAATACTATTTAATAAACGTTTATAAATGTATAGTATGTTAAAATAAATATTTATAAAATACTAAACAAGTGTTTACATTATGGAGGAAAATGTTTTCTTATATGAAAACCAAAAGAGCGTGTATATTTTTTTGTTGTAAATTAATGATGCAAGATAATAATATTGCATATAATGTTGTATTTTATTTGTTGAATTGTTTTACTTGTTTCTAAAAAATGAAAGAAATAGTTATTATTATTATTATTATTATTATTGGTATTGGGGAGCGTTTGTCAATTAAAAAAAAAAAAAAAAATTATACCTACAAAAAAAAATTATTTATTTATTTGGATAGTTCAGTACATCTGATAAAAACTGTTCAAGTAATATCATTTAAAAATGTAGAAACAAGAACTATTGAAAATAATGTTAATATATAAATAATATAATGGGAATACTTGTAACTTTGGTTAATATATATAATATATATGATAATCAATATGATTAGCTAATTTAAGTATGTTTGAAACTCATTAACTGGTTCACTTTTGGATAATTTTCTTGTTAAATATTTCAACAACATTTAATCTTTATAATATATCGTGTTTAAAAATCTTATTATTTTTCTCTTTGGAATATAATATAAAACAGTGAGAATTTGTTAAGTATGTTCTATAGAAAGTTTGGACAGTTTATTTTAATATATGTTTTTCAAAACCATGTTCTTGTATTTAAAATGTACATTCATATTTTTATTTGGCAAATGGAGCATTCATACCTGATTTTAAAGGGGGCCAAAATTTGTCGTCAATATATAGTTAAGATAAGTTATTGAAAAAAAATTAAATCGAAAATAAAACAAATTAAATTACAAAATTAAATGAATTTTTAAATTTAATTTCTTGTAGTTAACATTTGATCATAACATAAATGAAAAAATGTAATGTATTCTTATTATTAGAGAACGGATTTATATGTAAATGCATATTTTTATTAAAACGAGATATTTAAGATTCGATAAGAAATGTTCATGATTTAAATCATTCCTATTAATATGATGCTACTTTAATTTTACATATTTTTACATATTTCACTAATATGTAAATATTTTTAAACATATTTTATCATTTTATCATTCATACGTCTTCTTCATACGAAAATATAAGAAATTATTTCAAATTTAGACCCAGTAACTTTTATCGCTATTAGAAAAGCTCAAAATATTATGCAAAATGAAACATTGAAAACTAATATAATTTTTATCTCAGTGAATTTTAGTTTTATTGCATATACATTTACAAAATTAGAAACAAAAATATGTCCTTAAATGATAGTATGCAAATTGTCGAATTAACGATTGAAAAATTAAAACTCGTAAGCATACCAATAGGAGATATTGTAAAAAAAAAAATTCATGCTGTTACAGAAAAAAATTCTAGGCTATATTGATTTTAAGTCAATCAATGACATAATGAGTGGCAGACACCCTTCTAAACATTTGGAATTATCGCCTTCTGATATTATGCGTTTCAAATACACTTCAATCAATCGATGTAGGTTGATGTGAAACGATCATTTAGTCGTTTTAAAAATATTTTTAGATCTAATAGGTGTCATTTAATATTTGATAATTTAAAATATTTTTATTTTATTTTTTTTCTACATATTTGGATGGTTTTAGCACATAATTAATAAATTATACTTACATATTTCTGTATTTTTATTACATATTATCCGTTCCCTACTTATTATTAAGTATTTTTATTGTTATAACTATAATTTTCATAATAATAAAATATTTATTTAATATATATGTTATATTGTATTAGATTATATTTGTTTATCTTATAATTGGAAGTCATTTTGTATAACACGCGAGTACTGATTTGTTACAACGCAACAGACGGATAAATAAATAGAAAGAGTATAATAAATAAACAATTGTTTTGATCTTTGGTCGGTCTCATAGCTGCCAGAAGAAAAAACAATTTGTACACAACCGTACATAATACAAATGCATAATAACAATATTATTTTGGATCATTTTCCATGTTAAAAATAAAATATATTAAATCATCATATCCGTTATATATTACTATCCGTAAATCGTCTTCGTGTAATATTCTATGAATATTTTTATATTAATTGAGAATTTACCATGTATAAAAAATAATATAGAATAATAATAAAAAAAAAAGGTAAATCTGATAATCATTCGTACATACACATAATATAGAATTAGATATTGGTTTGACGAGGAAACCAATTGATGCTGAACAACATGCAAATTACTAAACTAAGAGATCTTGATACTAGTGTCATTCAAGAAGATGTGAAGAGTTGTCTCGAGCAGTACGAGCGAGGATAAACGGGATATGAAATGATTTTGATGGATCTGTATTTTGGTTTGAAATTATATATCATATTCTAGAGATATTTTAAGTGCGTCGATTACCACTACTTTTACCATATTTTTATCCAATGTTTTGAAATCAACGAATCTATACATTTGAATAGATTTCTAACAAATGCCTTCATTATTTTATGTTCTAGAAGAGAAAAACCTCTACTTGCCCACTGACGAATCCACAGAACTGTATTTGTTAGCCTATTTGAGAGTCTGCAAATTCTTCCCAGAGAGTGCGTTCAAAAGAGTGAGTATAATTTATTATTATTATGATTATTATTTGCTTATAGAGGCCTATTCAGAGAATATTTTTCCATGCGGACACAGGCAATTATCGATAATATATTAAATTTGTGTTCTCAAGGAAAGTGTTTCGTGGTATTAATTTTCATAAAGCAATTTTTATTAAATCACACGGTTTTAAAAATTGTTTTTGAGGATTTTTCTCGGAATCGGTATTATTATGATCCGTATAAAAAGGATCAATATATACAAACATAAAAAACCGAAAGTTTCTTAATTCGGGGAAAACGTAAGACCTAACACGTCGTTTTTTTCTCCACTTTTTTCCGTGTACACGACAGTTGCACTTTGCCGAAAAATATACACCGACGTAATGGATATTTTAATTTAACGCGAATGCGTTTGAGTCCATATTGTTAATTGTTTATAACTGTACACTATTTCATCTGTATGTTTATGTAACAATATTGTTTTAGGTGAAAAATTTATACAAATTGCGTCAGAAAAATCCTAAGTACTGTAACGACCTTCTACCGAGCTTGGAGCGAAATGTCTTTGCACAAAATATTCTGACCGTTTTGCCAAACCGTGACCAATACGGAAGGCGAATACTTCTCACAGAAATTGGACGTACGTGTGAACCATTTTTAATATTTCGTATTCACTACAGATGGTTTTTTTGTACGTCATAATGCCGATTTGTTTAACTTATCTTGTAGGTTATCAATAGTAGTACGAATGGATTGTAAGTGACGTTTTTAAACATTTTATATAAACACACTGTTCTCAATAATCTGTACCCCCAACGAGGGCGAGAAGGGACTCAGGCAATGAACGATACTTTGGTATTTTTCCTTTTACATTTAAAACAATACCGTGCCCATATTGCAATTACTGGTACTGCAGAAACTTAAATTACATTAGCAGAACTGCGATCTTGAGTTGGGAATGAATTATTATGTATAGCAGAGAGGCCCTTTGTGTTGTGTTTTACTATATCACATATATACAGTATAATTGTTCTTTAAAATAAACATAAAATTCTGTTATCCCGCTTTCGTTTACGTTTGTCAAAAAAATGTGACGAGGGGTCATGAAAAATACAATATACCACACCCGTCCCTTTGCCTAAAAAAAAAAAAAAATATTATTATTTTGGTGGCTTTTAATTTTTATTTTTGCGTTTCCTTTCTCCAGAGAGATGGAAAGTGAAAAACTGCTCGCTAGTCGAAATATTCCGAGGTATCGAGCTAGTGATGGAAGCGGCCATTCTTGAGCCAAGAACTCAAATATCGGGCACTGTACTGTTGGTGGACTTTGTTGGGCTGTCCATCAACCAAGTGTGGCAGTTTACGCCGAATTTCGCCAAAATGGTTCTGGATTGGATACAGGTAATACAACTGTGTACTTCCCATTCTGCAGCACCGTCTACCCGTCTGAGCTGTATTAAGTACACACTATACATTATTAGAATAATTATCCTTTTCAAATACATAATATAACACCGAGTTTTTAATTTTCTCTTTTTTTTTTTTCATTAAGAATTAGCTCTCTGAGTACCAGTCTAAGGTTTTTGTACCATATTAAAAACAAGGAATTAATAATAATCCACGTAAATATTTTTTTATGCTCTCCGCATGGTAATATTTTTCCATTAGTCTAAATTAATTACAATTTTAGTTACACGCGTTTCCCACGGTGATTCTATTATGCGTTTATAAATATTTGCTTCGCTTAAATCGGTAATTATATTACATTACAAGTTGTTGTACGCGGACATTGTACTTCAGTTATTTTACATTATAATAAATTTAATTAAATTCGGCTTAAGTGTTAAAATATAAAAACTATAAGGTACCAGTTACATATTATAATTAATATGGAAAACTAAAAAAAAAAAAAAAAACCAAGTGGAATAGTATTTTCATTCAGAAAATTTCTTCTTTGCCAACAGTCGTCAGAAATCATGTCGTAGTAATTCATTTTTCTTAAATTTTTTTTTTTCGAAAACCTATATTCATATCACACCGCACCATAATTCAATTTTAGTGGTACTTCAGTACCTCGGTATTGTCGAATGGCAGTGATCTGAAGTGAGAATCAGTAAATGATAATCCACCATAGGTACAAAACAAATAGCGGTCAGTAAAAATAATAATATTAATAATAATAATACTCATAATATTTACAATTCAGAATCACGTTCTGCGCATAAAATATTCATAACTTTTGTCAACGTTACAAATGTACTATTATTATAAAGCAGCTTTGGATCCCGATTTCTCGGCAAACAAGAAGCAATAAATAACAGTAATACGGTAAAATTCGTTTAGGTGGGTTTTTTATTCGTATCGTACAACAATCTAATTAGGCTATAAAATCTAATGATTTCGTTTGTCCGTACGAACAATGGACGTGGAATAAAACGTCTTAAACAAATTTTCTCACCACCAAAAAAAAAAAAAATTACATTTATATCTATCCAAAAGTTACGGTCGAAAAATTATTTCCATTGGGTTCATTATGTAATAATTAAATACGGAATAACAAATATCCCATTCAAATACTGTTGAACTATAATAATAAAATACTACATCAACGTGAAATTATTATGGTGGTTGCAAAACGACTAATGCAGTCGTAGGTAGAAACTATATCGTGTTCAGTAACATCATAATCGTATAATATTGTTATTGGCTGTAAACATTTTTTGTCCGTCTGCATACGGATACTATACTACACTGCACTACACTACGGATACTCCATGGAGAGTAGTATCCGTCGACACATTTTGAAAATTAGTATAGTTTCAAAATACAGTTCACATATATGTTATACTGATTAACTATGTAAAAGAAAATATAAGAATATCACGTTAAATACAATCTGCCGTTAACTATTTATTATACAAGTAAATCGAACAACGAAAACGATAGAATGGTCTAATCTTTTTCCATAAATTTTGGTATAATATTTATTTTGAACAACACTATATTGACACGCATCAATAAGTTTTCGAAATATTAACATTAGACTGTTTGAGTGTAATTTTTATGCATGCTGAGAAAACATTTCTTTGGAATTGTGGAGTATATGGTCGTCAACATAAAGAACAACATTTTAAAAACTAATCTAAACAGTGGAATTTTACTTTTACAAATACATTGACATTTCAAAAAAAAAAAAAAAAAAAAAAAAACAATGGTTTATTTTTGTACCCAACCCAATTGTTGTATTGTTATATTATTGATTTATACTAAAGTAATACATAAAAGTTAACAATGAACTAATTATTTCGTGCATTTTTAAAATGATTTTAAATGAATTAATTTTAACCATTCTATTACAATAAATAATTTAAAAAAAATGTCTTAAAATCAACCTACTCAACTAACGGGAAAAATATTAAAAATGTTTTAAGAATACGGTTTACTTTTTGTGCTTATCTTAGGAGTTTAACATAAACTAAACGATGTAAAAATTTTAACAACAATAAACAAACGGAAAACTGATAATAACCTATCGAGTTATCAGAAATGACCTTTCGTTTTTTTCGTTTTATTTTTATCATTGCTCCACATTTTTATATTTTGCTCAGTGTTAAAGGCTAATGATCTCTTAAAAGAAATGCTCATAAATATTACAAGTAATCGTTTACGATAGATATTGTTATTCCAATTTTCACTCGATTCGACATTCCACGGATATAAAAGCATTCTGTTACACATCCTTAATGATGTAGATTGTGAAGGCTTATCTCCAGTAGAGAGTGTATTGTTTAAATAAAACATGAACAACAAATATGAAAAAATAACTGAATTAATGATACGAACAATTTTTTTAAACGAATGTGTTTCAGTACTCGATGCCGGCTAGACTTAAGGAAGTCCATATCATAAATCAACCATACATATTCAATATGGTATTTGGAATGTTTAAACCATTTATGCAAGAGAAGTTGAGAAATCGAGTATGTATAAAAATATAATTTTATTAGAATAATTATCAACATAATGAAAACGTCGTATTTGACAGTATAAAATCTTTAAATCAATATTTTTTAAATGTAATCAGAGCTGATCAAACGAGGAAGACATTAAGGGATTTTTTCTGTATCAAAATATGTTGTTCTTTGTTTTGTACTACTTACCAACACCTTTATATTATTAATTAATTCAGTGATATCGAGTTATGTAAAAATTAGGTTTTCAAAGATCATAGTTTATCAACGTTATTTCTATCTACACACTGAACTCATTTTGTTCATCACTGTAATACTGTATATAATGTTTGCATACGATGTATCTTACGTAAACATAGATTATGTGTACCGTCCATAGTAAATAATTATGGATACATTATACTCTGATATAGGCTGTTCGCATTTAAATCAATTTTGAAATGGATGTAATAAGTTTTAGTAAAATACGAGTTTAAATAGTTAAAAATATTATGATTGACAGCCAGTTAAATACAAACAATTTTGTCAGATTAATATTAAAATCACATTCGTTGTCTTGTGCAACTCTAATATGAGCTATAAAAGTATGTTTTGAACTTTTCAATTTTAACTTAAACGTTTTTTATTGTTCAAGACGTGTATTTATTATTTTACTTTTCAGTTGGAGTAGTAAATTCTATCGAAACAAAGTTTAAGTAATTTCAAATAGAACTTAAAAACAAAAATAATGTGAAACAAACAAGTCAATAATGTTATTTATTGATAATTGTTATCTATTTCTTTTAAATCATGTTACACATCTATGTTGAAGCTCCAAGTATTATAATTTCATAATCGCTTTATATATATAAAAATAAAATATAACAAATATATATATCAAAAGGGAAATCGAATTGTTTTATTTAGCGGTTTTCTCTAACTGTAAAATCTCCCTTGAGAGGTACATGCACTTATTAAAAGTGGTGCAAGATAAATATTTTTATTGTACATTAAATTTTAATATATTTATTATTAGATCGATAGTAATTTGCTTATATTTAAGTATTGAAAATGTTGTTTTATTTATTCATGGGAGTCGCGATTAATTTATTTTTGTTTTAGGGATGTGTGACCCAAAAAAGTTTGGGAATCGCTAGTTTGATTAATACAATATTTTGTCCAGACTCATCTTATGATAGTGGGCTAAAAAAATACATTTGACATAATAATATATTGTTATCACTGCTATTGTTCAGTGTGACTAAACGTGAAAAGTTATAGCTGTTTGTTCTCGTTCGAACGGTCATTATTTTATTATATTATTGGTCATTGGTAGATTATGATGTTCAAAACATTATATAGTTTTTAGTTGTAGTCTTAATCACTGTATATCAAAAAATCAAAATAACACGGCTGGAAATGAATATCACCGTCATAGTGTTAGCTTAATTTACATAAAAATTAAAAATCTGTTAAATATGTAATCATGTTTTTGATAAGGGAAGTCAAAATATGTGCTTACCTTAATAATAATGATTTGTAACTACTGTAATTAAACGTGTCGAAAATCAAAATTTGGTGTTTCGTTGATCATGCAGGATAAATCGTGAAAACTAGTAGCACGTTAATTGCGTCAGTAACGATTTTAATTGAAATTAGCATATTATTATTATGCAAATAATTATACTTAACTAACTTGAATTGTAACTCAATTCAAATGTTTCGAACATTTGAAATAATCACTTTTAACTATTGATAATATAGACATTTAATTTTTATAACCAAAAACAAAATAATTATTAGTAAGAAATTTTAAGTTTGAAGACATTTAAATTATTTCTAAATTATTTTATCAATAATTACAATCATATTACAAGCATTAAAATTAAACGGCGTACTTTTCACTATGGCATTGTATGTATGTATATATAATTTTTCATTTATTTATACATGTATTATACTGCAATGTTCTTTTCTTTTCTTTTTTTTTTAAAAAAAAAAACACTGTTGTATAATTGTAACATTTTTTTTTTTGCAGATGTTTTTGCACGGTTATGATAATTCGTCGTTGCTAGAGCATTTGGATGCCAAATGTTTACCAACTAAATACGGTGGTCTCATGGACATTGAAACCAACCAAGGCATAGATTTATGGAATTTACTGTGTTATTACGAGGGAAACTATCAAGGTATGGTGGTGTACAATATAAAACGATGGATATTATTTTTTTATCATAACAACTAATTCGGTCCGTTTATTTCTGTTTTAGTTTCAAATGAATTTGGTTACAAAAAGAAGAAATAAATCGGAACTCGTGAATATCTGTTGACTGTTGTACAAGCACACGTTTTTTATTTTATTTCATGTTATTCATACTAATTAAATATTAATATTTTAATAATTCGTTATTGGGTTATGATCCAAAAAGTATACAGTAATTTTGTGAATATCTAATTCGATTGTTATGTGTTTATTTAAATAGTATATATATTATATTTATTATATCATAGTTATATACATCCATCTAAACACCCAGGCAATGAATAAATGAACTCATTAAAATTATCATCTGATTGATGGTCGTTGTTATTTATTTGATTAAACTGTTTGTAATTGATTACGTATTTTATAGCGTATACTGTATGCAAACAGTACTTATACATTTTGCGACGCAATTGTAATAAATTTGAATCAGTATGATAATACTAATGTCTAAATTCTGATCAAATATCTAATTCAGAGTATAATATTTTTCCCTCGATTCGCCCTGGTTGCGTTAATTAAACGAATCTCGAAAGCCGTACACACTGTCCATGAACCTAATGATTTTAAATCGATCACTTTGTACCGTACTTAAAAGAAGTTGATATTTCCATTAAAATGTTCAAGAAAACTACGACAATTATCAGGTCATAAGTACAAATTATAAGCCAAATCTTTACTATTTCTGATGAGGTCTGTTCAGAATCGTTTTCAAGATGGGTCAATATCACGTTTAAATTAAAAATAACAATATATTAATATATACATTTAACGTCCACGCAGCCCTAAAACAAATTAATTGAGACAAGTATTCGATCTTATAGTAACGAATGATCCACTGCACTACTATAATTTTGTTTTTCTTAATTTTATTTTCTTTTTTATAAATTAACTATTCGCTAACATCATTCTGCAATTTCTTGGGCATACTTCATCATCCTGCTTAATATGTAATCTACTTATCTACCATAATTATATACGCATATAAACATTTTTTATTATGAACCGTTAGAATTGATATTTCTGTTTTGTACATTTTTCCGGGAAACTCATCAAGATTAAATTTAAAACGAAACCTGCAAAGTTTAAATTTTAATTTAAACGTACTTTTAAACGTATTAAAATTGATACGTCATCGATGCGTACCGTTTTCCGCCATTTCTAATATTCGTTTTGGTCGTTTATTATTTTGAAATGAATTATAACTAATAATAACTGATTTGGATATATACTCATATAGGAATAAGAACAGATTACCGTTCTCATCGAATATTATCTTCTCTGCACTGTTTCGAACGTACCGGTATTTTTCATTATAGATACGTTGAATAACATTTTTATTACGCGTATAACACGCGTGGACTCACAAACGAACTGCCGTAAATAAATAATTTTTCTCGATCATGTTAATTATGAGCTTATGAATATGCATGTTTTGTGAACAGTGGACGCAAACGAAAGTGTTTAAAAAACTGAAACCTGAATTTCTACAATATAAAACACGGACACACGCAATTTGTTATTAGTAAATTTATAACGACACAACGGGGTTCACATATATTTACATTAATAATGCACATGTATGTACACATTATACAGATCCAATGTTTGCCGAACATGATAACACGACTCTTTCCGATGTACACCTCTATGAGAGGCTACAAACACACCTTCTGCCGGGCTATTAAGCAAATATTATTTCGAAATAATAAATTTAGCATACACTTTTCCGATCGTTTTTGGCGGTACCCTCCCGCTACCCGGCCGGTCGGATCGAGCAAATAATTCAAAAATTTCAGTGGAATTATGATCCATCGACAAATACAGCTCGCGTTACCCCCGCAGCCCAGATCAAACAAACGATAAGTTATGTTATAACGTTCTGTCGGCGGTGTATACGGCAACAAACGTGCGCAACGATATAACACATCAAATAAAGGATTAGCTTCGACGTTTTTAGACTATAAGTAAAACACACCGAACGGTTATTCGAACCAAATTATACTCGGTGGGCCCCGTACGTGTCGCTCGTGTTTGCTCGTACTCGTCATAATAATAATATCTCCTGTACGGGATTAACGTCGATGCGCGTACCGTATCGTACTGTGACGTGCGCGCCCGTCTAATTCTTACCACTCCTAAACGCGCACTAAACTACCGTCTATTAGGCCCGTCCATCGTTCGGCGTACGCACTACGACTACCCGACGGACAACAATGAAAACGCAACGCGATATTATTCGGGGGCTGTTAATCCGGGGTCAACACCCCCACGTGTACATTTCAAAAACGAGTCATACCAATACGTACCGCGTACGCACTCTCGTCATTGTGCTGTTGCCTACCAAGTATCGGTTACGTATCAATTATTATTATTATTGTTTAACCGTAACATTGGTACACCCAGACCTAAGCCTAGACGTAACGCCGCGGTTCGGTCGAGCCGATCGGAGACGCGATTCTTCGGTGATGCAATAGCCGTTATTTAATAGGGGGGGGGAGGCCACAACGAGGCTCTTGAACCAAATTCAGACTAAAATCAATAATTGTAAAATTTTGTCAGAATCGTTAGACATATTAGACAATGGTTATTTGGTATAGATCGGCAAGGCGGCGGTGCTTTTAGTATGCGTAGCCGAGATGTGTGTTAATTTTACAAACGTCGCTTTACAATGTGGCTCGCCTCGAACGAGCTTTATAAATTTGCGGCTCCCGAAGTTAAGGTCAGTGGGCCGCCCCTGCGTTATTGCAAATGTTATTACTAGTCGTCGTGACTGTACGGTTCGCGTGGACGACGGAAATAGTCGTGCGATACCAACAAATACGCGTCTGACACCACGTGTTGCCTAGCGCCGAAGCCGCGAACCGTCGCGTACGCGTGATCATTTTGCCGTTACGCAGCAATACTTTTTATTTATTTATTGAAATATTGTACGGGTTAGGACCCAATTAAACGAATTAAATTTAAATACTGTTCTACTACACGGTAAAGGTGTTCGCCGGGCCCCGTAGTCGAATGAAACGCGACGTTTCGATCGGACGCAGTTGCCGCTGAACGGAATCTTACGAACACTAATTCTTAGTCGTAAATTCCGTGTTTTGTGTTTCTTCCGATGTACACACATTTTCGGGTAACCGATAGTGAGCGATTCGAGTATGGAATAAAAGCGATGAAGCCTAAACAACAGTTGACAATGTTCAAATGTATGACGGGACGGAAAATTTTAAAATATTCGTCGTACGACACGTTTACAGGTAAAGCAAAACTCTCGGATCGTTAACGAAAGATGAGTCACGGTATAAAAATCATCCTACGGTCGACAAAAGATTACGTTCACCCGTACGCGGGACTGGAATGCTCAACAAGTCGTCGCGTAAATCGATAAACTTAATATTAAACTGTTGTACTTTAAATAAAAATACGCAAAATAGTACACGAGGTTTTTTTCTCGAAACTTTTTTTCGATAATACCGCTGTAACGTAAAATGCCATTGCGACTTGATGTTTTCAACCGTTGGCGTCAAACCATGGACTGACATGCAATGTTTTTAAAACGCTTCGTTACATTATTTCAGGTTTTAATTGTAAAACCAAAGTACGCATTAAATTATTTTAAATTAATTTGCATGTTGTTCTACCGCTATTGAACCACTCCAATACTTAATTGTCAATGTACAGTCGTATAATATATAATACGGTAGAATTATTTATCATACATTCTTGAATGTCAATTAAAATAATTCTTTTATATTATATTATATAACTTCAATGCGTTAACATTTAAGAGTATTAAGAGTTGTATCTCGAGATTTTTTTTTAACATTATAATTAATTCTCAGTATTTATATCGTTTTTAATATTTCTGAACATACATTTTTTTTTTTTTTTTTAGTGTATTGATCTTTTAATATCGCCAAATGGGTAGTGATTAAAATAAAAAATAATTAAAATATCAGTTATAATATTATAATATATTGCTTTCACGACCTAAACTTACTACCAATTTCCTCACTTGCCTCTCATTATTATAACAAATTACATAAAAACACTTTTAACCACTCTAACCCGCTCATATCTAAACTCTTTTCTTGCACAATAGCTGACAACCCTCTCCGTTGTCTTAAACGTAAATGGCCGCGAGATTTATTAAATAATATTTAGTACCTATTGTATATTATATAGAACAATTTACCTCCCTCTTAAGTTCATAATTTGGTAGTAATGTCAATGGACGCTTCCTTCCCTTACGCTTGTCACGTCTAATACTAATGTCGTCATATTTACTAATTTTTTTCTTATGTATGCAGATTGTAAATGTCTTTAAAAATAAAAATAAAAAATACAAAATAAAAACAATATTACTTATAATGTTAACACACTATATTCATTTTAAAATTATTTATACATTTAATAGTAATAGTATTGTTATAAAAAATAACAATAATTTAAAGTATTATTAATCATAGTCATTCACAATAATATTGATGTAATTTTTGTTTTTATACACCGAGAATTTCAAATCGTCAATTATTGAAAATGAACTAGGGAATAATAGTTCAAACCAAACAAATTTGTCGATAAAAAAAAAACGGCATAATGTAAACTTATGAGAAAAACACCGCATCTTACGAAATATCTTAATAAAATATAATTTTCAAAAATCTTGAGGACGAAAACAATATTTGTTTAATAGATGGATACTATCGAGAAACAAATAAGCTTAAGAGGCTCTCCTAGTCATGTGTGATATCAGATTTCACGAAGAAATTACTGACATTCTCGCGAAAACCCTCAAGTCTAGAAAATATGTTTTACCCTTTCTTAAATATGGTACTACGCTACATGACGGCAGTGGAGTATTATTTAGGGGATTTTGCACGTTGAAAAGCATTATAGTGTATAGAATATTCGTCATTGTTGGTTAATGCGTCACGAGGTATTTTATAAAATTAATACTAATGTAATACATTTTTGAATTTTAAAAATTCTGAAACGAAATACTGACATTCTCGTACTCTCAAAGCTAATATTTTCTAGGAAATAATAATCCGGGTATATTTCGTTAGTTGTGGCATAGTGATATTGTACTTGTTTCTCAAAAGACGAATTATAAAATGTATAACGTTATTACGTAACCTTTATCTGTTATAATAATGTTGAACAACTTAACGTCTAGCCACAGGTATATCGTTTGTGTATTGTATGCGTAAACATATATATGTATATAAAATAATATATACAGTCACTCTTGATTTTGATCACACAAATAAAACTTTACGGCTAATTTCCGTGTGAAAAAAAACCACTA